GCTCTGTTCTGGGGCCTCGTCTCCCTCAGGTCAGTCTGAGGTTCTAGAAGTCCTTTAGAGGGTTCCTGTGGTCCTTTAGAGGGTTCCTGTGGTCCTTTAGAGGGTTCCGGTGGTCTTTGAGGGTTCCGGTGGTCTTTGAGGGTTCCGGTGGTCCTTTAAAGGGTTCGGGTAGTCCTTTAGAGCAGGGGTCTTCAGCGTTTTCCATGCCAAGGCCCCCAAACTGATGGAGAGATGGAGCGGGACCCCCTACTTTTATATATATTTATATATATATATATATATATATATATATATATAGTATAAAATTGTGTTTTATATGAAACTGGTCCTATAGTGTATAATGTATAAATGTACCTTGTTATTGTGCATTCAATACTAAGATATTCAAATAATACACAGGTTCATATATTCGTGTTTTTATTTTAAACATGTGTAAGGTACAGTGAGTAGGGTGGCCATGCCACTGGCATTCATAAACATAACACAATCAACTGATACCTGCCAAGATCAACAATGTCTGTCAATTGCATGTAATCATGCATAAAAGCTATTCAAATGGACATTTTCAAAACATAAATGTGGAAATGAAAATTAGTGATGCTTGTTAGTGCCACTGGCATGCATAAACACACCTGTTATATTGCTTACAATACTGAACTATTAACATAACTGACAGATTCATGTTTTAATTTTAAACATACATGTAGTATGGGCAGTGAATCCTCAAACCCTCTATGGATGGCATACATACTCCCACATTAGTGAGATGTCTGACCCTGATGAGTAGCACACAACTTGTCTAACCTTGGACGTATGGAGGTTGTCAGGCAGGGTCATATCAGTCTCAGGCTGCAGTCTCCACCTGTATTTGTTTTTCAGGTAGGTGAGTGAGGAAAATCCACTTTCACAAAGATTTGTTGTAGCAAAGGGCAACAGGCTCATCATTGCTTTTGCTGCCAGTTGTTGAAAGTCTTTCTGGCAAGATATCCAAAACTGGGTGGTTTAGTTTCATGTATGTTTCTGTACGTGCTGTCAGTGGACAGTTCAATGAGCTGATCCTCCTCTGTCACCGCCAGGCGTGCGCCGTCTGCTGCGTTGTCTCTGAATGGAAACTGTATCCATGTCTTGTCCCTGCGCCAGGAGTTGGCCTCAGAAAAGTAGTTCCTAAATTGACCATGGAGCGCCTCCAAGTGAGCAAGAATCGCGTGTGTTACAGGAGGCAAGAGCACCGCAGAATCTCCCAGCTCATCCACTGATGGAAACATGGAAAATATTCCCTCCCCGACACGCTCCTTCCATTTTCTGATCTTTTTGACGAAGCCTTCCATCCTGTCATACAGCTGAAAGGCATGTGTGTTTGCGACGTTGCATAGAACTGTTAAGTTTGTTCAGCTCAGTGAAAATGTCAGAAAGATATGCAAGTTTGGTGATCCAGACATTGTCGCTGAAAAGTGCAGCCAGCTCCGGGCGCTTTTGGAGAAGTAAAAACTCCTGAATAGACGTGCGTAATCCTAACACACGTGCCAACACTGTTCCGCGAGAAAGCCAGCGCACCTCAGAATGGTACAGTAGCCCAGTGTGCTCTTCTCCTTCAGCAGCACAGAGATTAGAGAAGAGTCGTGTTTGCAAAGCACTCTTCTTGACTATATTCACAACTTTCATGAGCGAGTCCATGACATCAGACAGTTCAGCGCTCATGTCCTTGGCAACAAGTGACTCTCTGTGCAACATGCAGTGTGTCCAAATCACCTCTGGAGCCACATCCCTGAAGCACGATTAGGCCACTTTTGAATCCAGCCATGGCTCTTGCGCCGTCGGTGCACAGTGCAACACATTTTGCCCATGAAATGTCATTTTCTCTGAAGAAAGCGTCAATCACTTTGAAGATTTCAGCACTTGTTGTGCGTTCAGGAAGGCGCTTACAAAACAAAAATTCCTCCTGCATTTCATTTTGATCCACAAAGTGCACCAACACCAGAAGCTGCGCATCCTTTGGCACATCTGTTGATTCATCCAGCTGTAATGCAAATGCATCTGCCAATCTCAGCTTCTCTATCAGTTGCACCCTCACATCTGATGCCATCTCGTCAATACGGCGAGCAATGGTTGTGTCCGACAATGGAACAATTTTCAGTTTATTAATGTCAATATCATTCCCATACATTGTTTTACACGTCAGTTGCTTCCAAAATATTTTTATTTTCAATTTTCTTAACAATTGAAGCAACAGACAAACACACACATATATAATAATAAAAATAATAAAAATAAATAAAAAAATATATATATTTGACACAGACTATAAAGAGGCTTAATATAGTATCAGAGTTGAATGTCAACTTGAGTACATCAATTATGTCAAGATAGATACTCTTTAGGGGGGTTAACTACAGTTTCAAGTACTCCAAGATAGGTCCCCACACACCACAACATTTCTTTAACTTACCATAAATCTCATATCTCAGTTTTTCAATGTGGAGGATTCCTACTAGCTCCCTCAGCCAGGCTTCAAACTTAGGTGGTGAGTCAGATTTCCACACTCTCAAAATACATCTCTTTGCTATGACCATACCATAGGCCACCACTGTACTAACACTCCGACCCATCTTGTCCAAAGTGTTAGAAATGCCAAGTAAAGCAGTTTCAGGGTCAGGATCCAGGTTTACTTTAAGTACATGACCTGTCATACATGTCTTGACCTTTCACACAGGGGGGGAAGTTTGGGGAAAGATTTTATGCAACTTAACCTTCGAATAGTGTAACCTGTGTATGACCTTGAATTGAATCAATTGTAGCCTAGCATTGACTGAGCAATGGTGAATGTCATTTAAAGCTTGTTTCCATATTTCATCTTGAATAGTGATGTTCAGATCAGCCTCCCACATTTGTTTAAATTTAACATCAGGATGTGCAAGTTTGTAGGAGAAAATACAAACCAATTTTGAAATCAAACCTTTTGCTCCTGGTGGGCCAAGTAGGAGCTTAAAAAAAGAATTTTCTTCTGGGAGGGAGTCAGATGATGAGATATTCTGTCTTATGTAATGACGTAACTGTAAATACCTAAAAAAGTTTGATTTTGGCAAGTCATATTTTATGTATTCTTTTTTAAATAATTCAAATGAATAGAGATGATTATCAACATAAAGATCTTTTACGGACCCTATTCCTTTCCTACTCCACTCTTTAAAGACTGCGTCCGCGTTTGAAGGGAGAAAGGCATGGTTATGCCATACAGGGGCATGCACTGATGTTTTTGGAAATTCACAAAATGTTCTAATCTGTGTCCAAATTTTTTGAGCATTAATTATTGTGTAATGCTCTCCCTTACAAGAGGCTCTTGGCCTTGGTGATGAAAAAAGAATTGCCCTGAGGGAGGTTTTTTGAGGTAGACTTTGTTCTGTTGCTAACCAGGACGGTATCTCAGTCTGTGGATCAGGGTCATTAGCCAGTTGCCAGTATACCATCTGCTATTAGCAGCACAGTAATAATGTAAGAAGCATGGTAGGCCTAGGCCTCCAAGTTCCTTTGGCTTTTGAAGATGTTGTTTAGAGATTCTGTGCGCCTTATATCCCCAGATAATTGGTAAAATCACAGAATCAATCGTTTTAAAGAAGGACATTGGGATAAAAATTGGGATGTTTAGAAACATGTAAAGGAATCTTGGCAGGGAAACCATTTTAATTGTGTTTATTCGGCCTACCAATCACAGAGGCAATGTTCTCCATTTTCCATATTCTTTGTCAGGGCATTTAATCTCTCTGTGAAGTTATATTTAAAAAGTAACTGGTTTTTTAGTGAGTTTAACACCTAAGTATTTAACACTTTTTTTGAAATGTTAAACTGAGTTGAGGTCACAAATGCGGGATCTAAATCAGCTGTAAGCGGCAGAAGGTCGCTTTTTTGCCAGTTTATGGTGTATCCTGAAACCGTGCCAAACTCATTGACGGGTGCCCCTCTCAAACAAAACAAAAACAAAATGACTCCATCACTCTAAACAGGTACCCCCACTCCACCTGGTCAAATGCCTTTTCGGCATCTAAACATAAAATGGCCTGTTAGAACCTGTAACACATGTCAGTTGCTGAAGGCAATATTAAATCCTCTCCAAGTGTGTATGGCTGTTTCTTTTGGGCAATCCGAAGAGCAACTTGATAAGAGCATTTCAAGGCTAGCTCACCAACTTTGGCAGATTTTTTCATCAATGTCTGTTGGCCTTGGAGGGATTTGAGACAAGTTCGGAAGTATTCAACAGGTTTGTCTTTTAAGTGGCTGTGGGTTGTCTCCAAGTGACGCTGCAGCTTTGAGGGCTTCATAGACTCATTTGACAGCACAGTAGAACAAATGACACACATTGGAAATTCAATGTCATCTGTCTCCTTGAAGGTAAACCCAAACTTCAGATAATTGTCTGTATATTTTCGGGTCTTCTCTTACCCTTTACAGCTGCGGGGCCTACAGCAGGTACATTGTCACTTTCATTTTCACCTGCGGTTTCTGAGGTGGAGGGAAGGCCTATCTCTTTTGTAAATTGTGGGGGGAATATAAAAAAAAAAAGTCTAATCAACCAAAACTTTCACAACCCCCCTGTTGAAGACCTCCTCTTTAGAGGGTTCCTGTGGTCCTTTTAGAGGGGTCCAGTGTAAACTGCTGCTAACAGACAGAGAACCAGGTTAGAACCAGAACCAGGTATAACTCAGTGTTTTGTTGTTTCAGGGTCTTCGGAGCGGCTCTGCTCAGCGACAGTGAGAGAACTTCAGGTACTGACACACAGCAGTAAGGCCTGCTGGGAAATTACTCATTAAAATGTGATATTGTTCTGACCTCTGCCCTTCCACTGCCCCTCCTCTGACCTCTGCCCTTCCTCTGCCCTTCCTCTGACCTCTGCCCTTCCTCTGCCCTTCCTCTGACCTCTGCCCTTCCTCTGCCCTTCCTCTGACCTCTGCCCTTCCTCTGCCCTTCCTCTGACCTCTGCCCTTCCTCTGCAGCAGCGGTGAAAGCGGTCGCCGCCCCCTGCTGGCTGCTGGAGGACTTTGTGGTGACCACAGAATGTGGCCAGTGTAACGCCTTCCAGACTGTAAGTTCACAACAACAACCAAACAGCTGCTGGTTGCCACGGCAACAATAATCTGTATGTGTTTACACTGATGGTTGTTGTTGTTGTTTGTTGTTGTCTCAGAGGTCGTGGTCGGCCTGTGAACCAACGGGATACGTGGAGCGAGTCAACTGCACGAGATCCAACAGAGACGAGTACAAGAGGTCACACCGACTATCAGTACTATTGATTAATGTTCATAGATCAATAATAATGTCCTTGTAGATAATCAATCAAGTTTATCAATACGTCACTGAGAAATAAACAGATAAATAAAAATGTAGCACCTGTACAGGCGTTAGTTAGCTGCTAGTTAGCTTCCAGCTAACAGAGCGTCTTGTTTGTCTATAGTTAAGATCAATAATCAATCAGAATCAGCAGATAATTAATATTGTTTATTGATCGTCCCCAGCTGTCGGTCCGCTGTGATGGAGGAACATCTGTTCTGGAAGTTCGAGGCGGCCATGTTGGCTCTGACGGCTCTGTTTGCCGTCCTCGTGGTCGTTCGTCAGCGCTGGCTGGACCGCCTCGCATCTGAAAAGGTCCGCCGCCAGATTGAGTCCATCTAGGACACTGCAGGGACCAGGACCTGCACCAGGACCAGGACCTGCACCAGTATTTTAACAGACTCTGGAGAGTTACTGAGGTCCCTCAGGGACCAGGACTAAAGAATCCTGCAGAGAACTGTTTGTTTTCATTTTTAACTTTATTTAAAATGGATTCATGACAACGACCTGCTGAAATCTGTTTGATATGGACCTCGAACCGGAGTCTGGACCTGGGTCTGAAGACTGGGGATGGGGGGGGGGTCCAGTGAAAACAATGTGTATCATTAGTATCAATAAAGTGATTGATTAGAGCTTGTCTGATTGTGATCATTCAGATATATCTAATAGGTTTACCTTCTGATCAATAACTATTCTACAGATCAATCGTCTCACTTCCTTCTACAAATCATAAACAATGTCTGCACCAATGTGATTTCTGATAATCAATAGCTTTTGACGATATAAAGTAATCACTCACTCATACAACCGGTTATTATATATTAAAGGTTGTTGGTTCGATTCCCGGCTCCTCTATACAGCACTTTAATATCAATATGATCAATATGTTCTATATGTTCCTCTTTGCATTAAAACTACAACCATCAGTGAGGCATTCTGGGAGCTGTAGTATCAACAGTTTAAACTTTATTAGTCAAACCACTAAAAACAAACTGACCACAGCAGCTCTAACAGTTGGGTAAACTCAGGTTATCAAACATATTGATTAATGTTCAGTTCCACGCAGCACGCTGACCGAGGAACAGAACATTAATCTATATCATTGATAACCTGACTTTAAAAGATCGATGGCGTCCAGCACAGCTGCAGTCTGCCCTGTGATTGGTCCGCTCTGTGAGGACGAACCAATGAGCTGAGAGCAGACAGGAAGTCACAACAAAAACAGATCAATAATTTAATGGTTACGATTGTCAGAATGATCAGAATTATTGATCACCAATAAAAACATAGAAAAGAAAATAGAGTCCTGAGTCCTGATTGGCTGATGGTCAGAGTGATGTCACCTGTCCGTCAGAAAGTCTTTAAAAACTTTAAAACAACCGTCAGTTGATTGGCTCGTAGGTCGCCAAGGCCACGCCCCCACCGTCAGTTGATTGGCTCGTAGGTCGCCGAGGCAGCCCCCTCTTCCGCAGGCAGGACGAAGACTCCGCCCAGCAGCAGGAGGATCATGGGAGTTCCCAGACCGACCGCCATCACGCTGACGACCAGCGGAGAGAATGAATCAACGGGAGGAGAACCAGAGCCCACCAACAGAGTCCTACAGGATCAATAATCAGTCATTGAGTATCACTTCTAATAAGGGGGAGACTCAACTGTATATATTGATTGATTGATTGATTGATGTGGAACGACCGACTAAAGTGATTAAGAGACTGACTGATAAATTGTTCTATTAGATTGACTGAATAATATAGATTGAATGATTAAAATACAATGATCAATCAATAAATTAATTGGTTTATACTGACTGATGGACTGATTGATTAATATAGATTTATTAATAGATAATTGATTAATATAGACTGATTAATAGACTAATGATAGTAATACTGATAGTATCTGTCAGCCAATCTATATTGATTAACAGATTATTGATTGATATTGACTGATTGAACAGGTTATTGATTGGCGGTACGGACCAGCTGAGGAACTTGGTGCTGTTGTAGAACGGTTCTCCTGCCAGTCCGAAGCTCACGTTCATTCCAAATGTTTCTGGTTCTGCGTAGAACGCTCGGATCAGACCAGACGCCGCAGCCGCCGCCTCGCCACTCTGAGGCCGCGGGTCGGAGTGACGGCACGGTGTGGCGTCCTCCAGAGCGGGATTGGACTGACGATACGCCACTGGCTTCCACTGAACGAAACCCAGATCAGCAGAGCTCGCGTTCTCTGTCGGAACCCACTGAGACACCTGAGGGTCAGAGGTCAACACAAGTTAATGTACAGACTGGTTATACTGGTTTATATTGGTTTATAATCCTGTATATAAACTGGTTTATATACAGGATTATAAACTGGATTATAAACTGGTTTATATACACAGGATTATAAACTGGATTATACTGGATTATAAACTGGTTTATAAACTGGATTATAAACTGGTTTATATACAGGATAATAAACTGGTTTATACTAGATTATAAACTGGTTTATATACAGGATTATATCGGATTATAATGTAATGTCATCAGACTACCTTAATATTTAATTACTATTATAGAAAACTGCTGGTTGAATTATTGATCACCTGGAATATTGACGGCGTGAACTCGTCATCAATTGATCGATGAACCTCCACTCTGCTCAGAGGATAAACCCCGCCCACCGCCTTCAGCTCCAACAGGAACCTGGAACGACTCGCCCGTGGCAACACACCGTCAAGCCACACCCTCACCTGGGAGGAGTTAGCTGTGTGGAGGAGGCGGGGCCACGACTGACCACGCCCCTCTGACTCAAACGCCGACAACTGAAAATAACACAACAGGACCAGAAACGTCTTTATAAGTAACGTAATCATAATATTAAAAATGAATAATCATCGACCGTGTGATGGGCAGACCTGCAGGCAGAGCGACCCGTTGGTGAAGTTTGCGGCGGCGCCACAGAGCAGAGCGCTTGGACCCGACAGGTTGAAGCGAGACCAGATGAAGTCCTGCAGCTCGTACGGCGGGAAGAGGTCGGAGATCGGGTCAGCCGTGTCGTTAACATCGTCGTACTCCAACAACTGAGACGACAATGCGATAAAAATATTCAACGCGAGTTCATTCAACAGCTTCCTGTTATCACTCGAAGAGAACATTTGCGGATCAATAACCAGAAAGCAGTAAATATAAACGCTGTATTCATTGGAGAATATTAATAATCAATAAAGATAAACATTGATCATGTTTCTAACCCTGCTGAAGACGAGGGCGGAGCTGTACAGGATGCTGCTCTCTGGCTCCACCTTCAGGCTGCCGCTGTGGTTGCGCTCCACAAACTGAGACCAGTTCACCTGAGAGACGACAACATCAACAACAACAACGTCAACAACCTCAACGTCAACAACCTCAACGTCAATAACATCAACAACGTCAACAACATCAACGTCAACAACATCAACAACAATATCAACAACAACAACGTCAACAACATCAAAGTCAACAACCTCAACGTCAATAAATCAACAAGCAACAACATCAACAACATCAACGCAACAACAACATCAAGCAACAACATCAACGCAACAACAATATCAACAACAACAAGCCAACAACATCAAAGTCAACAACCTCAACGCCAACAACCTCAACGCCAATAACATAAACAACGCCAACAACATCAACGCCAACAACATCAACAACAACAACATCAACAACAATATCAACAACAACAACGCCAACAACATCAAAGTCAACAACCTCAACGCACTAACATCAACAACGCAACAACATCAACAACCTCAACGTCAATAACATCAACAACGTCAACAACATCAACGTCAACAACATCAACAACAATATCAACAACAACAACGTCAACAACATCAAAGTCAACAACCTCAACGTCAATAACATCAACAACGTCAACAACATCAACAACATCAACGGCAACAACAACATCAATGGCAACAACAACATTACCAACAATGTCAACAGCAACGGCAACAACATCAACAACGTCAACAACATCAACAACGTCGTCAACAACAACAACATCAACAACGTCAACATCAACAACAATGTCAACAACAACATCAACAACAATGTCAACAACAACATCATCAACGTCAACAACAACATCAACAACAACAACGTCAACAACATCAACAACGTCATCAACAACGTCAACAACAACATTAACAACATCAACAACAACATCAACAACAACAACATCATCATTAACAACAACGTCAACAACATCAACAACGTCATCAACAACATCAATAACATTAACAACAACGTCAACAACATTAACAACAACGTCAACAACATCAACAACAATGTCAACATCAACAACAACAACAACATCGTCAACAACATATTTAAACCTCCTTTAAACGACTTCCTGTTTCAGTGAGCTGACGTTTCCATAGAAACAGACCTGGACAGTAGAAGAAGAAGTGTTGGTGTGGACGAGCAGCAGCGTCGGCGCCCCCTGGCTGCAGAACAGGAAGTGAAGCGTGTCGTTGTCTCCCACGGCTCTCACGTGCAGCAGGTCACCGCCACGAGGCAGCGAGGCCGCTCCGGGGTTCAACTCTACAGACAACTGAGGGCGGAGTATTGATCAAACACGCTGATTGATTGATTCACTGATTGATTGATTCACTGACAAGATCAGAACATTTGAGTCAGTTTCTCCTCGAGGAAACAAACATGTAAACAAACACAGATATTAATACACAGTTCAAACAACAACAACAACAACAACAACAACAATAATAATAAACTCCGTTTTTATCTGAATTTAAATATTTAACTGCATTAAATCAATTCAAAGATTTTGATTATAATTATCATAATTAATATAAAATATATAGTTTTTATTGAACAATCTGTTGTTTAGATTATCAATCGATTAATCAAATGTTTGATTATTAAATGATTGACTAAACTATTGATCAACTAATTGTTTCAAATCATCTGAAGAAAAATGTCCTTCTAACAATGATCAATAAAACAAACAATCTGCATTCTGTTGCACTCTGTTGGAACTATCAAACATATCGATCAGTAATCAGGAAGAACTGTAAACACTTTCACTTCCTGTCGGTCTGCGTCCTCGCGCTCTTTATATCCTCATTATTGATGAATTTATAATCGATATCGGGATATTGGCTCACCTTCCTGCTGTCACTCAACAGACTTTGGCTCAAACTGAAAAGTGAAAAGAGTAAAAAGAGAAAAAGGACTCCGCTACACTTCTTCCCCGCGGCGGCCATCTTTGTTGTGACTGAGCGGCTCCGCAGGTCACATGACCTCTCCTGAGTGAGTCAGCTGACCGCTAACAGGCCCCGCCCCACGGCTTGGTTTGAAGAAAAAACTTTATTAACAAACGTAGTTTAATACAATCGGCGCAATAAATACAAATATATCGATTATATAACAACAATATATTAACAGTGAACCATCCCTTAGTTATGCTGCTATAGGCCGAGACTATCGGGGGATTTCCCATGGTGCACTGAGCTCCTCTCTTCCTCTCTCTTTCTGCACTCATTCATGTTCCATTAATGCATGTTACTAACTTCACTTCTTCCCCGGAGTTCTTGTGCTTTCTCGTCTCGCAGGTTCTTATCGATCCTGGTGGAGCCTCCTGCCATGGTCCTGCTAGATTGCCATTGCCAATACTGTTGTTGCTGTGCACCTGTCTGTCTGTCTGTCTGTCTGTCTGTCTGTCTCTCTCTCTCTCTCTCTCTCTCTCTCTCTCTCTCTCTCACCCCAACTGGTCGAGACAGACGACCACCCACCTAGAGCCGGAGGATCTGTCCTAGGTTTCTGCCTTTTAACAGGCAGTGTTTCCTTGCCCTTGTCTCCAAGGTCTTGCTCATGGTGGTACTGTTGGGTCTCTGTAATTAATGTTTTAAAGAGTTCGGTCTAGACCTGCTCTATTTGAAAAGTGTCCTGAGATAACTTCTGTTATGAGTTGGCGCTATACAAATAAAATTGAATTGAGTTTTCTCTTGTAACACAGGAAGTCTCTTACTGCTGCACATGCTAACTGTACTAGCTGCTATTAGCCGTCCTTACCTGGACCGGGAGCTGGAAGAACCGGAGCAGGGCCCCAATGAGCCACAGAACCGTGTGATGTCGCACTGTGGCTGCTTGTTCTGATTCACAATCATTACTGCTGTTTAACATATAATCAATACAGTGGTATCAGAAACTATCAGAGTCAACGGTGGGCTTTTTAGTAAAAATCAATAAGCAGCAGTGAGACACATTGATGCTTCTTTAGAGGGATTTTATTTTGAAATGATAAACAGTGTGTGTGTGTGTGTGTGTGTGTGTGTGTAGATGGATGTGAAGGAATTGAAAGCAGCTGATCAGAGACAGTAATCTGATTGATCAATGACAAACTTTATTGATCTTTGAACGATCTTCACGCTGTCACAATGAAAACAGGAAGAGGTTTCCAACTTTAACTTATTGACGGATAATTCAGTGAGTCGTCTGGTCCCACACACACACACACACACACACACACACACACACACACACACACACACACACAGACTGAAGGAGTGACTCTGATCTGGATCCACGTGGATCTACTCGGCTCCCTGTCCTCCCGTCTGACCATCTTTGTCTTTCTTCTTGTGACCGGAGACGATGTCATCGATACGCAGCAACAAGATGGCCGTCTGAATGACAGACAGAGAGACAGACAGAGAGACAGACAGGATGAAAATGTGAACAGCTGACAGTCTGTGTGTATTGATCAGTTATCAGTTATCAGTTACTGACCTCCACTGCGGTCTTGTAGGTCTGAGCTTTAACAGCCAGCGGCTCCCAGATCCCCAGAGCCGACATATCAGACAGACAGCCGGTCTCACCGTCCACACCCCAACACACACCGTTGTCCTGGGTGTGCTTGGCCTGCTCACGTAATCAATAATCAACACACAGATCATCAATACATAATCAATGTATAAACAGTAAAATCTACCTTTGGAGCACAAACACTGTAGTCTACGTACTCCGGTGTGTTTTAAATAAAGTTATTGACGTTGTAAATAAAGTTATTGATGTTGTAAATAAAGTTATTGACGTTGTAAATAAAGTTATTGATGTTGTAAATAAAGTTATTGACGTTGTAAATAAAGTTATTGACGTTGTAAATAAAGTTATTGACGTTGTAAATAAAGTTACTGAATAAAGTTATTGACGTTGTAAATAAAGTTATTGACGTTGTAAATAAAGTTATTGAATAAAGTTATTGACGTTGTAAATAAAGTTATTGAATAAAGTTATTGACGTTGTAAATAAAGTTACTGATGTTGTAAATAAAGTTATTGATGTTGTAAATAAAGTTATTGATGTTGTAAATAAAGTTATTGACGTTGTAAATAAAGTTATTGAATAAAGTTATTGACGTTGTAAATAAAGTTACTGATGTTGTAAATAAAGTTATTGATGTTGTAAATAAAGTTATTGATGTTGTAAATAAAGTTACTGACGTTGTAAATAAAGTTATTGATGTTGTAAATAAAGTTATTGAATAAAGTTATTGACGTTGTAAATAAAGTTACTGAATAAAGTTATTGACGTTGTAAATAAAGTTACTGACGTTGTAAATAAAGTTATTGATGTTGTAAATAAAGTTATTGAATAAAGTTATTGACGTTGTAAATAAAGTTATTGAATAAAGTTATTGACGTTGTAAATAAAGTTACTGATGTTGTAAATAAAGTTATTGATGTTGTAAATAAAGTTATTGAATAAAGTTATTGACGTTGTAAATAAAGTTACTGAATAAAGTTATTGACGTAAATAAAGTTACTGATGTTGTAAATAAAGTTATTGATGTTGTAAATAAAGTTATTGATGTTGTAAATAAAGTTATTGATGTTGTAAATAAAGTTATTGAATAAAGTTATTGACGTTGTAAATAAAGTTATTGACGTTGTAAATAAAGTTATTGAATAAAGTTATTGACGTTGTAAATAAAGTTACTGAATAAAGTTATTGACGTTGTAAATAAAGTTACTGATGTTGTAAATAAAGTTATTGATGTTGTAAATAAAGTTATTGAATAAAGTTATTGACGTAAATAAAGTTATTGAATAAAGTTATTGACGTTGTAAATAAAGTTACTGATGTTGTAAATAAAGTTATTGAATAAAGTTATTGACGTTGTAAATAAAGTTACTGAATAAAGTTATTGACGTTTAAATAAAGTTACTGATGTTGTAAATAAAGTTATTGATGTTGTAAATAAAGTTATTGATGTTGTAAATAAAGTTATTGATGTTGTAAATAAAGTTATTGAATAAAGTTATTGACGTTGTAAATAAAGTTATTGACGTTGTAAATAAAGTTATTGACGTTGTAAATAAAGTTATTGACGTTGTAAATAAAGTTACTGAATAAAGTTATTGACGTAAATAAAGTTACTGATGTTGTAAATAAAGTTATTGATGTTGTAAATAAAGTTACTGATGTTGTAAATAAAGTTATTGATGTTGTAAATAAAGTTATTGTCGCTGTAAATAAAGTTACTGATGTTGTAAATAAAGTTATTGATGTTGTAAATAAAGTTATTGAATAAAGTTATTGACGTTGTAAATAAAGTTACTGAATAAAGTTATTGACGTTGTAAATAAAGTTACTGATGTTGTAAATAAAGTTATTGATGTTGTAAATAAAGTTATTGAATAAAGTTATTGACGTTGTAAATAAAGTTACTGAATAAAGTTATTGACGTTGTAAATAAAGTTATTGACGTTGTAAATAAAGTTATTGAATAAAGTTATTGCTAAAAAATAAAGTTATTGACGTTGTAAATAAAGTTATTGACGTTGTAAATAAAGTTACTGAATAAAGTTATTGACGCGTGTAAATAAAGTTACTGATGTTGTAAATAAAGTTATTGATGTTGTAAATAAAGTTATTGATGTTGTAAATAAAGTTATTGACGTTGTAAATAAAGTTATTGATGTTGTAAATAAAGTTATTGAATAAAGTTATTGACGTTGTAAATAAAGTTACTGATGTAAATAAAGTTATTGACGTTGTAAATAAAGTTACTGATGTTGTAAATTAAGTTATTGACGTAAATAAAGTTATTGACGTTGTAAATAAAGTTATTGACGTATAAGTAAATGATGTTAAATAAAGTTATTGACGTAAATAAAGTTATTGACGTTGTAAATAAAGTTATTGAATAAAGTTATTGACGTTGTAAATAAAGTTATTGACGTTGTAAATAAAGTTACTGACGTTGTAAATAAAGTTATTGACGTTGTAAATAAAGTTATTGACGTTGTAAATAAAGTTTTGTACCCTCAGTGACGTCAGCACTCTGATGGTGGAGGCTCCACAGTTCTGGATCAGGGTTCGGGGGATGACCTCCAGGGCTTGGGCCACAGCGCGGTACGGCCACTGTTCGACGCCAGTCAGAGCACGGGAACGTTCCATCAGACGCTTTGACACCGCCATCTCCACGGCTCCGCCCCCCAGCAGCAGCAGCGGTTCCAGCAGCACGTTACGGCACACCTGCATGGCGTCCTGCAGGTTCCTCTCCACCTCCTGAACATCACACAGTTATATACACACAGGCCCTGAAGGCATAACACCAATACTAATATTACTGAAGAATGATCAATAACTCACAGCCAGGATCTCCTTGCTGGCCCCTCTCAGCAGGATGGTGCAGGCTTTAGGGTCTTTGCACTCGGTGACAAAGGTGAAATACTCGTCACCGATCTTCTTCACCTCAAACAGCCCCGCTCCCGTACCGACGTCTTCCTCACGCAGCTCGTCAGTCCGACTGGCGATACGAGCCCCACACGCCCTGAGAGTGAGAGAGAGAGAGAGAGACAGTGAGCGAGAGAGACAGAGAGCGAGAGAGAGAGACAGAAAGTGAGCGAGAGAGACAGAGAGCGAGAGAGAGAGAGAGAAGAGAGACAGTGAGCGAGAGAGACAGAGAGCGAGAGAGAGAGAGAGACAGTGAGCGAGAGAGAGAGACAGTGAGCGAGAGACAGTGAGCGAGAGAGACAGAGAGCGAGAGAGACAGAGAGCGAGAGAGAGTGAGACAGAGAGAGAGAGAGAGAGAGAGAGAGAGAGAGAGACAGAGAGCGAGAGAGAGAGAGAGAGAGAGAGAGAGAGAGAGAGAGAGAGAGAGAGAGAGAGAGAGAGAGACAGAGAGCGAGAGAGAGAGCGAGACAGAGAGAGAGAGAGAGAGAGAGAGACAGAGAGAGAGAGAGACAGAGAGACAGGAGAGAGAGAGAGAGAGAGAGAGAGAGAGAGAGAGAGAGACAGAGAGAGAGAGAGCGAGAGACAGAGAGCGAGAGAGACAGAGAGAGAGACAGAGAGAGAGAGAGAGACAGAGGCGAGAGAGAGAGAGAGCGAGAGACAGAGAGGAGAGACAGAGAGAGAGAGAGAGACAGAGAGAGAGACAGAGAGCGAGAGAGAGAGAGAGAGAGAGACAGAGAGTGAGAGAGAGAGAGAGAGAGAGAGAGAGACAGAGAGAGAGAGAGAGAGACAGAGAGAGAGAGAAAGAGAGCGAGAGACAGAGAGCGAGAGAGACAGAGAGCGAGAGACAGAGAGAGAGAGAGTTGTCCCGTGATGATGAAGGCAGCAGGTAAGGAGGTAGAGGAGGGTAAGAACAAAGTACCCTGGATGACATCAGAAGCGTTTACCTGGCGATACGGTTGTTGTCGGACTTCCTGACGCGGCGGATGGCGGTGATGTTTGCCTTCATCAGGTAGTGCTGAGCCAGATCTGACAGACAGGAAGGACACGATTATACTACAGACACTATATATCACCTGCTGGGTTTATCCTATCACCTGCTGGGTTTATCCTATCACCTGCTGGGTTTATCCTATCACCTGCTGGGTTTATCCTATCACCTGCTGGGTTTATCCTATCACCTGCTGGGTTTATCCTATCACCTGCTGTGAAAAAGATCTACAAGATGTTTGGTCTTTAATACATTTCCAGGTGTTTCCAGGATGTGTAGAATAATCACTAATAATCAGATTATTTATCTTTAATCAAGCAGGGCATTGATCGTTATCAGACTGCATATTGATAACAGACTGTATATTGATAAGACTGTATATTGAAAACAGACTGTATATTGATATATTGATAACAGACTGTATATTGATATATTGATAACAGACTGTATATTGAAAACAGACTGTATATTGATATATTGATAACAGACTGTATATTGAAAACAGACTGTATATTGATATATTGATAACAGACTGTATATTGAAAACAGACTGTATATTGATATATTGATAACAGACTGTATATGATATATTGATAACAGACTGTATATGATAAATTGATAACAGACTGTATATGATAAATTGATAACAGACTGTATATGGATATATTGATAAGACAGTATATAGATATATTGATAAGACTGTATATGATATATTGATAACAGACTGTATATGATAAATTGATAACAGACTGTATATGGATATATTGATAAGACAGTATATAGATATATTGATAACAGACTGTATATGGATATATTGATAACAGACTGTATATGGATATATTGATAACAGACTGTATATGATATATTGATAACAGACTATATTGATAACAGACTGTATATGATAAATTGATAACAGACTGTATATGATGTATTGATAACAGACTGTATATGGATATATTGATAACAGACTGTATATGGATATATTGATAAGACTGTATATGGATATATTGATAAGACTGTATATGGATATATTGATAAGACTGTATATGGATATATTGATAACAGACTGTATATGATGTATTGATAACAGACTGTATATGATATATTGATAAGACTGTATATGAATATATTGATAACAGACTGTATATTGATAACAGACTGTATATTGATAACAGACTGTATATTGATAACAGACTGTATATTGATAACAGACTGTATATGATGTATTGATAACAGACTGTATATGATATATTGATAAGACTGTATATGAATATATTGATAACAGACTGTATATTGATAACAGACTGTATATTGATAACAGACTGTATATGATGTATTGATAACAGACTGTATATGATGTATTGATAACAGACTGTATATGAATATATTGATAACAGACTGTATATGAATATATTGATAACAGACTGTATATTGATAACAGACTGTATATGATATATTGATAACGACTGTATATTGATAACAGACTGTATATGATGTATTGATAACAGACTGTATATGGATATATTGATAACAGACTGTATATGAATATATTGATAACAGACTGTATATTGATAACAGACTGTATATGATATATTGATAACAGACTGTATATTGATAACAGACTGTATATGATGTATTGATAACAGACTGTATATGGATATATTGATAACAGACTGTATATGAATATATTGATAACAGACTGTATATTGATAACAGACTGTATATGATATATTGATAACAGACTGTATATGATATATTGATAAGACTGTATATTGATAACAGACTGTATATGATATATTGATAACAGACTGTATATGGATATATTGATATGAGGTTATTGATATGAGGTGGTATATAGTGATTTGAGGTTGGCCCCGCCCACAGTAGTTAAGCCTTCAGTGGCTGTATTGACGAGCACTGATTACTGGGTGCTGACTGTGTGATGAAGGGTCCAGGTGAGACGTACCTGAGACCCCTTTCTCAGTGAAGACCAGGTCTGGTTTGAGGCGGATGATGTCCTCACAGATCTGCTGGATGTACTCTTCCTCCATCTGCAGGATCCGGGCAAAGTCCTCCTCCTTACTGATCTCTATGTCCGTCTGCACACAGGAACAAGATGACTGAATGTATTGATCAGATCAATAACCTCACTCACCATCACAATCAGCCCACTGGGATATCTCCTCCTCAATAACCCCCAACCCTCTTCTCATTCATCCAAATCAGCTCATTATTAATGCTAATGGTGCTAATTGTCCAACATATGCAGGTTAGCATCAGTCAGTGTAACCGTGTGTGTGTGTGTGTGTGTTACAGTGTGTGTGTGTGTGTGTTACAGTGTGTGTGTGTGTGTGTGTTACAGTGTGTGTGTTACAGTGTGTGTGTGTTACAGTGTGTGTGTGTGTGTTACAGTGTGTGTGTGTTACAGTGTGTGTGTTACAGTGTGTGTATTACAGTGTGTGTATTACAGTGTGTGTATTACAGTGTGTGTTACAGTGTGTGTGTGTGTGTTACTGTGTGTGTGTTACTGTGTGTGTGTTACAGTGTGTGTATTACAGTGTGTGTTACAGTGTGTGTATTACAGTGTGTGTTACAGTGTGTGTTACAGTGTGTGTGTTACAGTGTGTGTGTTACAGTGTGTGTGTTACTGTGTGTGTGTTACTGTGTGTGTGTGTGTGTGTTACAGTGTGTGTGTTACTGTGTGTGTGTTACTGTGTGTGTGTTACAGTGTGTGTATTACAGTGTGTGTGTACAGTGTGTGTGTTACAGTGTGTGTGTTACAGTGTGTGTGTTACTGTGTGTGTGTTACTGTGTGTGTGTGTGTGTGTTACAGTGTGTGTATTACAGTGTGTGTGTTACAGTGTGTGTATTACAGTGTGTGTGTTACAGTGTGTGTTACCTGGCTCTCTCCCTTCTTGTACTCCAGAGAACAGTCCAACAGGACGATTCGTGGCTCTTTGATCAAGCGTCTCATCCTCGGGTGAGTCACGTCTTTGTTCACCATCACTCCTTTCAGCACATACGAGTCCTCGATGAACCCACCTGGAACCTGAACACAGCGCGGCAGGGGGAGTTACAGGGGGAGTTACCAGGGGGAGTTACCAGGGGGCGTTACAGGGGGCGTTACCAGGGGGGCGTTACAGGGGGCGCTTTACAGGGGGGGCTACAGGGGGGGCGCGCGTTACAGGGGGAGCTAAGCGCCCAGTATACTCGACGCACTCGTGCTGTCGCACGACAACGTGACGTCAAAATGACGTAGACCTCGCTGATGCGCCAGGATTTTATCCCGGTCGCGCCGTGTCGTGCACCACTTTTTTTTTTTTTTCAGCTGCGCGCGACAAACCGGAAACAGGAAGATGGACGATCTGTACGATCCTTCAATAAAGGAGCACAGAGATGCCCAGAGATGCTGGAATTCATGGCGAGAAATCGCGCGACAGTTGGTCTGCGTCGAGTATACGGGGGAGTTACCGGGGGAGTTACGGGGGGAGTTACGGGGGGAGGTTACAGGGGGGAGTTACAGGGGGCCAGGGGAGCGTTACAGGGGGGAGTTACAGGGGGGAGTTACAGGGGGGAGTTACAGGGGGGAGTTACAGGGGGGGGGAGTTACAGGGCCTTGGGGCCTGTGAGTCGTACCTTCTCCACTTTGGCGTACTTCTTGATGTCGATCTCTTTGCGTCCGTTCTCCTCCAGCTCCACTGTGCGGACGGCGTCCAGTGCGATGCTGCAGGCCAGCTCGGACCAGCGGCTCAGAGCTTTGGTGTTGATGGCGGAGTGGACGATCTTCAGCATCATGGAGCGGTCCGACGTGTCCACGGGGGTGCTGAGGACAGAGGTCAAAGGTCAACCACTGGCTTAAGATAAACAGGAATCTTCAGTTAAATCAAAACAGGAAGTGACCCATCCAATAATCAGTTTGACTGATACAGATTGAGTCATTGCAGTGTAATAGTTAATGGTGTTGGGGGTCATATGTTAAATATCCAAATCAGCGATTGACGATATATTGGCCCTTTCACAATAAAAGCCTGTGTGTACCTGATCTCCTTCAGAGTGTCCAGCATGTCTTCCAGAGCCTGTCTGTAGGCACTGATGATGACGGTCGGATGCATCTGCTGCTCCAGAAACTGCTCGGCTACAGACAGCATCTCCCCGGCTGCGCGCGTGTGCACACACACACACACACACACACACACACGTATTACTACAACAACAACAACAACAACAACAGTAACAGCAACAACAGTAACAACAACAGCATCTCACCCAGTATGATGACTGATGTGGTCCCATCTCCAACCTCTTCATCCTGTGTGCGGCTGATCTCGATCATCGACTTGGCTGCAGGATGCTGAACTTGAATCTGTTGCCATGGAGACAGAGGTTATCAATAACAATAATAATAATAATATTGATAAAGAGACACTAGTACAGTTATTTGTGCAGACCTCTCTGAGGATGGCGTTTCCATCGTTGGTCATCACAATTCCTCCCATGGGGTCGAGCAACATCTACACACACACACACACACACACACACACACACACGATCAATTATTGACTCAACAGGATGTCAATCACGTTAATGAGCTCTTCAGACCGAACGTGTCTCACCTTCATCATGGCCCGCGGGCCGAGGCAGGTCCTGATCACATCTGCAATGGTCTGAAACACACACACACACACGTTGATTCTCCACAGCTCTCAACATGTCTGCTCCACTGCCACACAATCAATGATCAATAATATAATCCAAACTGGGGCCGACTACCAACTCCAGAGATTAATATAATAGTAAAAATAATAATATTATTAATAATAAATGTGATTATTATTAATAATGAATATTAATAATAAATTTCTCGTCACCCCACTCCCAAGCCCTGATCTCCAGAAGCTGAGCGAGACCGCTCTACGTTGTCACGTTTCAGACAACGCAGAAGACTTACGCTTTCATAGAGAGACTCTTCACTGAGAAAGGTGGAAATGCAGCACCACGCCACGGACACACAGTTTGATGCACTGTAAATATTTGATTAACTTATGATCACCAATGTGTCTAGATTGCAGTGATGGAATATGAAGTCAATATGATAAAATCTGTAGGGGTTAGTTAAAATAGAAGCCCTGAAATGCCGGAAATGGCCTCACAGTGGCCGACTTTGACGGCACGCCACGGACACGCCCTTCAACGTACAGTCACAAAAAGCACGGCGTTCATTCAGCAAAATTTTTTGACTGTGCTGACCAAATGTTGAAGCAGATCCGATAAATTCCCTAGGACGAGTTCGTTCAAATACAAGCCCAAACAGTGAAAATGACAAACAAAATGGCCGCCGATAGTGAAAATGAAAATAGCCGACTTCCTGTGGGTTTTGGGTCTAAGAGGCTTTTCTGTACGTCTCTAGTTTCATACATATCGGTGTTTGTTGAAATCCTGTAGGGGGCGCCACAAACAGGATTTTTGGTATGTGAGCTTCAGGCACCGCTCTACACGTGCCCTGTGCACACGTTGCCGATGCGGAGATATAAACTCCTTAATTTTAAAGAGCGCCACCTAGTGGCTTTGGCCTGAAATTGTGCACAATGCCTAAAGAAGACATGAGGAACTATGGACCCAAGCTTGGTGTCAATCGGAGAAACCAATGTGGAGAAATGGTCCACTTCCTTTTGTGACTAAAAATCTACAGGAAGTGATCATTTTATGACGTGCTTATTTTTTGAAATATCAAAATACTTTGAATGACTTTTTCTCGTCAGTCTCCAGATGCTACGTGACAAGTTTCGTGCGAATCGGACAAAGCGTGTAGGAGGAACACGAAATGCCCCGACTCAAAACCACCACAGCAAGTTCTCACCAGGCCGGTTGACTTTGCCAAATAAAATGAATGTGAAGTTTATGTTCAGGGGTCAAAGACGGCGTCAGCATTCCTAATAACAACAACAACAACAACAACAAAAAACTGATAATGCAGTAGGGTCCTCCCAGTGCTGACACTGGCTCGGTCCCTAACAATGAGCCGCTGTACACACTGACCTTTGCAGCGCTGATGTTTCCGGTCTGGACTTTACGTCCCGACTCTCTCTTTATGTTCTGGTCTGCAGACAAACAGGAACAACAACTGATCAATAATCAATACAATCTATACATAAACAACCTACACACACAGTTAATATTCAACACAGAATGACTCACTCACTCACTACATCCTGTAACATTCACTTTAATATCCATAAAGACAAACTATTGATCACATACAGTAAAGGAGACACTCAGTGGATCAATCAGAAACAGCCCTGATCAATAATCTAGATTATGGCGTTTGTTACTTCACTCCTAATAACAGTGTATATTTATCCAGTAACTCCAATAACTCATTAATATGCCATCGATCAGTGATCAGCAGTGATCGATCAGTGATCAGCAGTGATCGATCAGTGATCAGCAGTGATCGGTAGTGATCAGCAGTGATCGATCAGTGATCAGCAGTGATCGGTAGTGAGGGTGTGGCTGCACATCTTAAACCCAGTGCTAGCCCTGATGCTAACGTTAGCAGCTCAGTTGGAGATGACGTCAGTTTATTAGCTTTACGAGCTAACGGTTAGCATTCATTACAGCCGTTAGCATTCTAGCTAACTATACTTTCATGCTGAGTAACGAGGGTAAATTAGCCTAGCTTAGCATCTCTATATGCTCTCCATTGTCTCTGAAAACACAAACGACACGAGCTAACGATGCTAACAGCGGGGGATTAGCTGTTAGCTAACAGCTAGCCTGGAGGAAGCACATGTTCCTCCGCTGGTTAGAGACCGGTCTCCGCTTTGTGCCGCAGCGGGCCGCTCTGACGGTAACCGGCTACAGGCCGCCGCTGGCCGCCGCCGGCCGCCGCTGTGTCGCTGCTGAGCCCGTTAGGAAGAAGCAGAAATGTCGCTGATACTCACTGAGAACTAAAACCTGTTGGCCGAACATCTTCACACAATGGACGCTTCTGGGAGGCTCGAGAGAGAAAGGAGGGCTCAACCGGCAGAGGCGGGAAGACAACCACAGGCTCGACCAATCAGCTGAGAGACTCAGTATGACGGACAGGCGCTGCAACCAATAGAATCAGTGAGGAAGTTTCAGCCTTTTATGGTCATTTTCCTTATAGAACGTTAGTTTTTATTATTATATCTTAATTCTATCATTATTACACTGTTAGTTAGTTTTTATTATTATATCTTAATTCTATCATTATTATACTGTTAGTTAGTTTTTATTATTATATCTTAATTCTATCATTATTACACTGTTAGTTAGTTTTTATTATTATATCTTAATTCTATCATTATTATACTGTTAGTTAGTTTTTATTATTATATCTTAATTCTATCATTATTATGCTGTTAGTTTTTATTATTATATCTTAATTCTATCATTATTACACTGTTAGTTAGTTTTTATTATTATATCTTAATTCTATCATTATTATACTGTTAGTTAGTTTTTACTATTATGTCTTAATTCTATCATTATTACACTGTTAGTTAGTTTTTACTATTATGTCTTAATTCTATCATTATTACACTGTTAGTTAGTTTTTATTATTATATCTTAATTCTATCATTATTATACTGTTAGTTAGTTTTTACTATTATGTCTTAATTCTATCATTATTATGCTGTTAGTTAGTTTTTACTATTATGTATCGATTTTTTCATTAATTATAATTGTTTTTTATAATGTAATTTTTTAATTCAATATAAATCTATTAATCTTATTTTCTATGTATATTTTGTTGTTTTTACGTTTTCATTCTTATTTGTTATTTTTCTTATAATATCTTTGTTTAGCAACTTGAGCTACTGTAATGCTAACTAATCTCCCTTTAGGAATCAATAAAGTGTTTCTGATATTAATGGATCAATATCATTTGTGTATGAAGACTAACAGTAAGACTAGAACGGCGAAGCCCACAGGTCACCACCAACCGCTTCACGTTTCCAATACATTTTCCCCACTCAGCGATACACCCGCTGAGGAACCAACTCTGGTTATTGGCAGCTCCATAGTCAGAAACGTGAAGTTAGTGAAGCCAGCGGCCATAGTTAAATGTATCCCTGGGGCCAGAGCGGGAGACATTGAATCAAATTTAAAACTGCTGGCGAAAGGTAAACGTCAATACAGTAAGATTGTTATCCACGTCGGCGGTAACGACACCCGTTTACACCAATCGGAGGTCACTAAGATTAATGTGGAGTCGGTGTGTAACTATGCTAAGACAATGTCGGACACCGTAGTTTTCTCTGGACCCCTCCCCAATGTGACCAGTGATGACATGTATAGCCGCATGTCGTCATTCCACCGCTGGCTGTCGAGGTGGTGTCCAGCAAACGATGTGGGCTTCATTGATAACTGGAAGCCTTTTTGGGGAAAACCTGGTCTGATTAGGAGAGACGGCATCCATCCCACTTTGGATGGAGCGGCTCTCTTATCTAGAAATATGGCAAAGTTTATTTCTAAAACCTGACAGTCCAGAGTTAGGACCAGGAAGCAGAGCTGCTGTCTTACACACTTCTCTGCGCTTTCTTTAGAACAGTCACCCACCCAAAACCCCATAGAGACTGTGTCTGTCCCCCGACCACCTAAATTATTTAAAGAAATAAAAACAAGAGGAGTTCAACATAAAAATCTAATAAAAATTAAAACTAATTCCGCAGTAGCACAAAATAAGAGAATGAAATGTGGGCTGTTAAATATCAGGTCTCTGTCCTCTAAAGCTGTTTTAGTGAATGAATTAATATCAGATTATGATATTGATTTACTTTGTCTTACTGAGACCTGGTTGTCCCACGAGGAGTATGTTAGCCTAAATGAATCCACCCCCCCCCAGTCATATTAATACTCACATTCCTCGAGGCACAGGCCGAGGAGGTGGAGTAGTAGCTATATATGATTCGAGCGTTTTAATGGACCCTAAACCTAAACTAAATTATAATTCATTTGAAAGTCTTGTTCTTAGTCTTTCTCACCCAAACTGGAAAACACTGCAGCCAGTTCTATTTGTTATAGTGTACCGCGCTCCTGGACCGTACTCTGATTTTATATCTGAATTCTCAGAGTTTCTATCAAGTTTAGTCCTTAAATCAGATAAAGTAATTATTGTAGGTGATTTTAATATTCATGTGGATGTTGACAATGACAGCCTTAGTAATGCATTTATATCATTAATAGACTCAATTGGCTTCTGTCAGAGTGTAAATAAACCAACTCATTGTTTTAATCACACTCTTGACCTTGTTCTATCATATGGCATTGATATTGAACATTTAATAGTCTTCCCACATAATCCTTTCCTATCTGACCATTATTTAATAACTTTTGAATTCATACTATTAGATTATAAGCCATTAGGTAAAACGTCCTACAGCAGATGTCTATCTGACAGTGCTGTAGCTAAATTTAAGGAGGAGATTCCTTCAGTGTATAATTCAATGCCATGTCTGAATTTAACAGAGTCCTATAATAACTTTAGTCCCTCTGAAATTGATAATCTTGTTGATAGTGCTGCAGGCTCACTACAATCAACATTAGACTCTATCGCTCCTATAAAAAGGAAATTATTAAAACATAGGAGACTAGCACCGTGGTATAACCACCAAACCCGCCAGTTAAAGCAAATAGCTTGGAAATCTGAAAGGAAATGGCGCTCTTCCAAATGATCAGAATATCGCTCAATTTGGCAAGATAATCTTAAAACTTATAGAAAGGCCCTCCGTAATGCCAGAGGAGCCTATTACTCAGCACTAATAGAAGAAAATAAGAACAACCCTAGGTTCCTCTTCAGCACTGTAGCCAGGCTGACAGAGAGTCACAACTCTATTGAGCCACATATCCCCATAAACTTAAGTAGCAATGACTTCATGAGCTTCTTCTATAATAAAATTATTACTATTAGAGAAAAAATTAATCACCAACTGCCATCAACAGTTATCAGTGGCTCTCCAAGTTCAGGAACTTTAACTAATGTAAACTTAGATATATATTTAGACAGTTTTTCTGCTATCGATCTTCATCAGTTAACTTCAATCATTTCTTCATCGAAGCCATCAACCTGTCTATTAGACCCGATCCCAACTAGGCTGCTTAAAGAAGTCGTACCCTTAATTGGCACTTCTTTACTGGATATGATTAATCTTTCTTTATTATCAGGATATGTACCACAGTCCTTTAAAGTAGCTGTAATTAAACCCCTTCTTAAAAAGCCCACTCTTGACCCAGGGGTTTTAGCCAACTATAGACCGATTTCTAACCTCCCCTTCCTCTCTAAGATTCTGGAGAAAGTAGTCGCCAAAGAGTTGTGTGACTTTCTACATAACAATAGTTTATTTGAGGATTTTCAGTCAGGATTTAGAGTTCATCATAGCACAGAGACAGCTCTGGTTAAAGTTAATAATGACCTTCTGACTGCTTCTGACAATGGACTTGTCTCTGTACTTGTATTATTAGATCTTAGTGCTGCATTTGACACCCTTGACCATAATATTCTTTTGGGGAGACTTGAGCATCAAATTGGCATTAAAGGAACCGCACTAAGCTGGTTTAAGTCATATTTATCAGATCACTCGCAGTTTGTACATGTTAACGATAAATCTTCAATAAATACTACAGTTAGTCATGGAGTTCCACAAGGTTCTGTACTTGGACCAATACTATTTACTTTATATATGCTCCCTTTAGGCAATATTATTAGGAATCACTCCATTAACTTTCACTGTTATGCAGATGATACGCAGTTATATCTATCAATCAAACCCAATGAAATTAATCAATTATCTAAATTACAAACATGTCTTAAGGACATAAAATCCTGGATGACCTGCAATTTTCTGATGTTAAACTCAGAAAAAAACGAAATTCTTGTTCTTGGCCCCAAAAACCTTAGAGACTCACTGTCTAAAGATATAGTTACTCTAGATGGCATTAACTTGGCCTCTAGCACCACTGTCAGGAATCTTGGAGTTATCTTTGATCAGGATTTGTCATTTAACTCCCACATAAAGCAGACCTCTAGGACTGCCTTCTTTCATTTACGTAATATTAGAAAAATTAGACACATCCTATCACAGACAGATGCAGAAAAACTAATCCATGCATTTGTTACTTCAAGGCTGGATTACTGCAACTCTTTATTATCAGGTTGCCCCAATAAGTCCATTAAAACGCTCCAATTAATCCAGAACGCTGCAGCACGAGTACTGACAGGAACTAGAAAAAGAGATCACATCTCTCCTGTACTAGCTTCTCTGCATTGGCTCCCTATAAAATGTAGAATAGAATTTAAAATCCTCCTCCTCACCTATAAAGCTCTTCATGGTCAGGCCCCTTCATATCTTAAAGAGCTCATAGTACCCTATTACCCCTCTAGAACACTACGTTCTCTGAATGCTGGGCTACTTGTGGTTCCTATAGTCTCTAAAAGTAGAACAGGAGCCAGAGCCTTCAGTTACCAAGCTCCTCTCCTGTGGAACCAGCTTCCAGTTGTGGTTCGGGAGGCAGACACCCTCACCACATTCAAGAGTAGGCTTAAGACATTCCTCTTTGATAAAGCTTATAGTTAGGGCTGGATCAGGTGAGTCCTGAACCATCCCTTAGTTATGCTGCTATAGGCCTAGACTATCGGGGGATTTCCCATGGTGCACTGAGCTCCTCTCTTCCTCTCTCTTTCTGCACTCATTCATGTCCCATTAATGCATGTTACTAACTCCACTTCTTCCCCGGAGTTCTTGTGCTTTCTCGTCTCACAGGTTCTTGTCGATCCTGGTGGAGCCTCCTGCCATGGTCCTGCTAGACTGCCATCGCCAATACTGTTGTTGCTGTGCACCTGTCTGTCTGTCTGTCTCTGTCTCTCTCTCTCTCTCTCTTTCCCCCCCCCCCCCCCCCCCAAATGGTCGAGACAGACGACCACCCACCTAGAGCCGGAGGATCTGTCCTAGGTTTCTGCCTTTTAACAGGCAGTGTTTCCTTGCCCTTGTCTCCAAGGTCTTGCTCATGGTGGTACTGTTGGGTCTCTGTAATTAATGTTATAAAGAGTTCGGTCTAGACCTGCTCTATTTGAAAAGTGTCCTGAGATAACTTCTGTTATGAATTGGCGCTATACAAATAAAATTGAATTGAATTGAATTAAGCTCTTTATTGATCCCTGTGGGGGTTCAGTGGTATTAGAGTGACATGCAGTTACAATGAGGTTGACCTTTGACCCGAGCCGCTCTGAATGAAGAAGATTTATTGATAAATAGAAAGATATATCAATAATAATCAATCTTCTCTATAATCTCATTGTTATTATTAACCATCAGTCAGATGATCAGTTTTATTAAATACAGTAGAACTCAGAGAGGCTAATCAATGTTTGACCCCAGATCAATAAATCAATACAATAATGGAAATAAGAACTTCATGTTGTCACATTGAAAATGAGTTTATCCATTAATCTATTGATCGATTCTGAAAGCATCTGATCAATAATGAAAACATCCGTCACTACCATCGTTCTTCTGTATTGATCAACGTAGCCTATCTGTGTATTGATCCTCCCGAGTGCAACACTAGCTAACCTTAGCATTAGCATTAAAGCTAACATTAAAGCTAAGCTAGTGGAACATATTGTCTGATCATGCTGTTAGCTTGATAACGTTAGCATTAACGTTAGCTTTAACGTTAGCATTAACGTTAGCATTAACGTTAGCTTTAATGTTAGCATTAACGTTAGCTTTAACGTTAGCTTTAACGTTAGCATTAACGTTAGCTTTAAGGTTAGCTTTAACGTTAGCTTTAACATTAGTAATTAAAAAACAACAGAATCATAAAAAATGTTTGTCTGATATTTTATTGATGTTTCCCACAATGCCTTTCACCCCCCCCCCAATGCAACATAAATAAATAAATAAATAAAAACTGTTTACTAATGAATCAGCAGGCAGCCTGGTAATGATGTCATGTATGACATCATGATGGACGGGAGAATCTGATTGGATTGTCTGACCATTACTTCCTGTCTCTGGTCCAGATTCTGGACATGTCCGTTGTCATGGAGACGAGCTGGTGGGTCCTGATTGGTGGATGTGTCAGAGTTCGTCTTTGGACTCGCTCAGCGCCAGACTGCGACCCGCCTCGCGCTTCAGGAACTTCAGGAAGTCTCTGAGCTCGCGCCCGCCCTGAAACACGGGAGAGACGCAACGCTGTGATGTCGCTGTGATGTCACTGTGATGTCACTGTGATGTCAGCGCGTGCTACCTTGGTGAGTTCAGTGTTATTTGCTTTTACCTCGTATCTGATTGGCTCGTCCTTCCTACCCGCTGGAGCAAAGTAAATGGTGGGAAACCTGCAGACACAGAGACACAATGAAGACCTGGACCCTGCTCAGACCTGGACCCTGTTCAGACCAGGTCCCTGTTCAGACCTGGACCCTGCTCAGACCTGGACCCTGTTCAGACCTGGTCCCTGTTCAGACCTGGACCCTGTTCAGACCTGGTCCCTGCTCAGACCTGGACCCTGTTCAGACCTGGTTGCAGGTCTAGTGTAGCCGTAGCACATAGCATCGTTAGCATTGTAGCTTATGTATGTAGCATCGTTAGTGTAATATCCTGAGATTGCTAATATTTGGTATTACCCTAGAGGGAGCTCTTGGGAATCCAGGTGTGTGTTACCTGGCAGGAAGTTACCTGGCAGGAAAGGTATAGGTAGAGGCCCCCTGGTGGCATGTGTGTGTTATGTCTGTGCTGCCTGAAATGTTTGATTGAAGCCAGAGGAGAAACCTCCTATTGAAGCCCTGGGTCCTCATCCACTATGTTATATTGGCGACGAGGATACTTTGGAGATATGCTGCACCGAGGCAGGAGCACAGAGAGTGGACTTGGCTGATTGTTTGAAGACTCCCTGAGAACAAAGGACTTGGTGAAGGGAGGAGGACACGTGTGGGTGAGATGGCAACAATAGGGACACTGCCACCATTTGATCGCAATATGCAAACTTGGGAGGAATACTGTGAAATTATGGAACACTTTTTTATTGCAAATGATGTTGATGATGAAGATAAAAAGAAATCCATATTGCTCAGTGTGGTGGGGGCACAAAACTACAGTTTGATGAGAAACCTCCTAAGTCCAGCAAAACCTGGAGAAAAGACTTTTGCACAGTTGGAAGCATTACTGAAAAACCACTTTAATCCCAAGCCAAGTGAAATCTTCCAGAGATTTAAATTTGATTCACGTATGAGAAAACCCACAGAATCTGTTGCTGAATGTGTGGCCGAATGAAGGAAACTATCCCAGGACTGTAATTATGGAGAGACATTATCACAAATGTTACGGGACAGGCTGGTGTGTGGGATAAATGATGACAGAATCCAGAGAAGATTACTATCAGAGACTGCTCTCACATTTGAAAGTGCCTTGTCTCTAGCCCAAGCTATGGAATCTGCAAATAAAAATGTGCAGGATTTGCAAATGAAAGTGGGAGCTATGTCATGTAATGCAATGAAAAGTGGTGAATCAAAGAGCTATGGAAAGGTACAAATTGACAAAGAGTGTTACCGCTGCAAGGGGAAACATGCACCCACAGACTGTCGTTTCAAAAAGGAAAAATGTCATGCATGTGGAATGATTGGACACATAGCACGAGCATGTCGCAATAAGAAAAAGGACAATGCAGAAAAGTGGACTGACAGAAGGCCAAGAGAAGGAAGAGGAAGGCGCTTCAAGCAAGAGCGCAAGGTACACTATTGTTCATCCAGAGTGGCAGAGGAGAGTGATGAGGATCAACCACTTTCTCTGTACCATGTCCAGGGCGAGGATGGAGAAGAGAGGGAGCCACCCTATAAGGTTTGCATGGACCTAAATGGGGAACCAGTGACATTTGAAGTAGATACTGGATTCTGGATTCTGGATTCTCCTCCATTAAAAAGAATCCACCTAGATTTGATAAAGATACTGCCCATTATAGTAGTTAAAGGCAGAGGTCCAAATTTATTGGGAAGATGGTGGTTGAAGCATGTTAAGCTAGACTGGGCCGAAATCAAAAGCCACGTGCAGCACATTACAAACCAACCACAATCCCTGACCCTACAGCAAGTGCTCACAAAGCATGAGGAAGTGTTTAAAAAGGAACTGGGGACCTTAAAAGGGTTTAAAGCCACTATTCAAGTGCCCGCTGATGCTACTCCCCGCTTCTATAGACCCAGGTCTGTTCCCTATGCTATGAAGCCTAAAGTTGATGCTGAGATTGAAAGGTTGATCAAAGAGGATATCATCACTCCAGTTAAATATTCAGACTGGGCTGCTCCTGTTGTTCCCTTACTCAAGCCAGACGGAGACTGTAGACTTTGTGGAGATTATAAATTAACTGTTAATAGAGTCTCCACCCTAGAACAGTACCCCATACCCAAAGTGGAGGATTTGCTGCCTGTGTTAGCCGGAGGACAGCAGTTCACTAAACTTGACATGAGTCATGCATATCAACAAATCCAAATGGATGACCAGTCTAAGAAGTATCTAACTGTGAACACTCACCGTGGCATGTTTACATATAACAGACTACCATTTGGTGTGTCCTCTGCTCCCGCGATCTTCCAAAGAACCATGGAGGGGGTCCTTCAGGGAATACCCCAAGTTGCTGTTTATTTGGATGATATTTTGGTTACCGGGGCAACTAGAGAGATGCACCTCAGGAACCTGGATGAGGTGTTAACCAGGTTGGAAGATGCTGGTCTCAGGCTAAAAAGAACCAAATGCACCTTGCTGGCTGATGAAGTTAAGTACCTTGGATACAAAGTGGATGCTAAAGGAGTTCACACTGTGGAAAACAAGGTAAAAGCTGTTGTTGATGCCCCCACACCAACTAGTGTGACAGAGCTTAAAGCTTACTTAGGCTTATTGAACTATTATAATCGCTTCCTTCCCAATCTTTCCACATTGCTTGCCCCTTTATACTATCTGTTGAAGAAGAATGTAAGCTGGGAATGGAGTGAGAGTCAAAATGAAGCTTTCCTAAAGTCTAAAGACTTATTAAAATCAGCAAACGTATTAGTGCACTATTCAGGAGACAAAGATTTAATATTGGCATGTGATGCCTCACCATACCGCGTGGGAGCTGTGCTGTCTCACAGGTTGGACAATGGAACAGAAAAACCAATCGGATTTGTCTCCCGAACCTTGACACCAGCAGAGGGAAAGTATTCGCAGCTGAATAAAGAAGGTTTGGCTGTGATTTTTGGTATAAAAAGGTTCCACAAATACCTCTATGGCAGGAACTTTACAATTGTAACAGATCACAAGCCCCTGATTTCACTGTTCAATGAAACTAAACCTGTACCTCAGATGGTTTCACCACGGGTTCAGCGGTGGGCTGTTTGGCTCAGAGCTTATGAGTATCATATAGTGTACAGGCCAGGAAAACAAAATGCGAATGCAGATGCCCTCAGTAGGCTTCCCTTGCCAGAGGCACGCCCTGCTGTAGGAGGGGAGGAGGAGCTAGTGCTGATGCTGGATGTGATGGATGATGCACCTGTATCCACAGAACAAGTAAGACAATGGACAGCCAAAGATGTAACACTGTTGCATGTACATGAGTTTGTGTTAAGAGGATGGCCCGCTGCAGTAGAGCCTCAATTCATGCCTTATTTTACCCGACGCTTAGAATAAAGTGTTCGAGATGGATGTGTGCTGTGGGGTGCTCGGGTCATTATTCCTCAGCAAGGAAGAAAAATGTTGCTGAAGTTGCTGCATCAGTCCCATCCAGGAATGTCTAGGATGAAAGGTTTGGCAAGGTCATATGTCATGTCAAAGCCTGTCAATGGCACAGCAAGTCCCCTACAACAGCACCATTACATCCATGGGAATGGCCGGAGAAGCCATGGACTCGACTTCACATGGATTATGCGGGTCCCTTTTTAGGCAAAATGTTTTTGGTGCTGGTTGATTCACATTCTAAGTGGATGGATGTATATTCAGTAAAAACAGCAACCACTCATGTTACCCTTGAGAAACTCAGACAAAGCTTCAGTATCCATGGATTACCAAAAATGTTGGTGAGTGATAATGCTACCTGCTTTACAAGTGTTGAGTTTGCAGATTTCATGTCCAAAAATGGTATAAAACATGTGACTTCTGCCCCTTTTCATCCTTCGTCTAATGGGTTGGCCGAAAGAGCAGTTCAGACCTTTAAGGAGGAGATGAAGAGGATGCAAGGAGGAAAGGAGAGCTTGGAAACTAAAGTGTCGAGATTCCTGTTTAGTTACAAGATCACTCCACACTCTACCACAGATTTGTCCCCGGCAGAGATGCTCATGTCCAGGAGGCCCCGGTCCATGTTTGGTTTGTTACTCCCGGACTTGAAAACCAAGATGGAAAAGAAACAATGGAAACAAAAAGCTCATCATGATAAGACTATCAAACTCAGATGTTTTAATCCAGGAAATCTAGTTTTTACAAAGAACTATGGATACGGTCCCAAGTGGATCCCTGGAACCATTGAGAGCTGCACAGGTCCACTGTCATATACCGTTCTCACTGAGAATGGACAGGTTTTGAAGAGACATGTTGATCAGATCAGGAGGAGGGATCCAAGCAGACTTCCTGAACTAGATCCCAGTACACCCCAGGTTGTAACTAACCCACCAACTGTGGTGCCAGAACAAGTACCGTCCTCTGTATCTGTCTGTCCAACAACCCCTGTGAAGAACTCTGAGAGTGGTCTACCTAAGCTGGAGAGTGCGCCTAGTCCTGTAGTGCAGGAACCACAAACACCAAGCTTGAGACGCTCTACTAGAGAGAGGCGTCCTCCGGACTATTATAGACCATAAATGTATGGCTAACAGACGGAGAATGAATTGGATAATTAATTTCAGTTACTAAAATTCTTAGAGGGAATTAAAGGCTAAGTTGTGAAAGTGAAGAAAAAATATACACTGTATGTTATTATAATTTTGAGGAACTAAGATTTAAGTGAGGAACATGTATAATGTAATTTAATTTTAATTTTACTTTCAGTTAAGTGATGGCTGCAGACCTGAGAGGGGAGGGATGTAATATCCTGAGATTGCTAATATTTGGTATTACCCTAGAGGGAGCTCTTGGGAATCCAAGTGTGTGTTACCTGGCAGGAAGTTACCTGCCAGGAAAGGTATACGTAGAGGCCCCCTGGTGGCATGTGTGTGTTATGTCTGTGCTGCCTGAAATGTTTGATTAAAGCCACAAGAAACCTCCTATTGAAGCCCTGGGTCCTCCTTTGTCAAATGCTGATCCACTATGTTATAGTTAGCATCATAGCTTATGTATGTAGCATTGTTAGCATTGTAGCTTATGTATGTAGCATCGTTAGCATTGTAGCTTATGTATGTAGCATCGTTAGCATCATAGCTTATGTATGTAGCATCGTTAGCATCGTAGCTTATGTATGTAGCATTGTTAGCATTGTCTCAGACCTGGGAACTGTAGAACTCACCCGTGGACGTCGTAACCCAGCGGGATGTCGTTGTCAACGGCGTTCATCTTGGCGACCACGATGTTTGGATCAGAGTACAGCTGACAGACAGAGAGAGAGAGAGAGACAGACAGAGAGACAGACAGAGAGAGAGACACAGAGAGACAGACAGAGCAAATATTAGCACATATTGTATATATTTTATTATTAATTGTTGAAAAATGGCGCCGTCCTAGCGGAGCCTGTTGTAGTAGCTCTGGTATTACTGTCAGCTTTTAGTGATTTTAGTTGTTTTGTAGTTTGTTTTTATATCTTCATTTTTTATTGCTTCTTCGCACCACTCTACGTGGAGATGCTTTTTACCACACTTTATTGCACTTTGGTCTCTCCGGATGACTGGGAGCCATGCCTGCAACAATGCCTGCAACTCCTCCGTTTCCACTCGCGACCAGCTGATGGCCCTGAGCTACCCGACCCTCTATACCGGAGAGAGACCCTCCATACCGGAGAGAGACCCTCCATACCGGAGGAGCTCCTCCATACTAGAGGAGACCCTCTATACCGGAGAGAAACCCTCCATACCGGAGGAGCTCCTCCATACCGGAGAGAGACCCTCCTTACCGGAGGAGCTCCTCCATACCGGAGGAGACCCTCCATACCGGAGAGAGACCCTCCTTGCCGGAGGAGACCCTCCATACCGGAGGAGCTCCTCCATACCGGAGGAGACCCTCCATACCGGAGAGAGACCCTCCTTACCAGAGGAGCTCCTCCATAGCGGAGAGAGACCCTCCATACCGGAGGAGACCCTCCATACCGGAGAGAGACCCTCCATACCGGAGAGAGACCCTCCTTACCGGAGAGAGACCCTCCTTACCGGAGGAGACCCTCCATACCGGAGGAGCTCCTCCATACCGGAGAGAGACCCTCCATACCGGAGAGAGCTCCTCCATACCGGAGAGAGCTCAAGAGCGGGGGTTAACCCTTTAGGCGCCGGGTTTTATTTTTAAAAATACTAGATTTTGACATCTAAATTTCAGGAGGCTCTGGCTTGAAAGTAATTTGAGATAGAGACAAAGTGTAAATGACACAAATATTGAGAATGACCTCAAGTTTATCTAGGGAGTACATTTTCCCATCTAATTTGCATATTATGATGTCATATGGCGGCGGCCATATTGGATTATGTAATTTCCATGAAATACCTGATATTTTGAAAGAGAGTTGAACTTATTTCATCATATTCACCCCCCTCCAGCTCACTAATCGACCGACCGTCATCTCCCCTTCAGAATCAGAGTCAGCGAATAGGAGACCCATCACTTCCCGAAGCGTCAACTTTTTGCTTGTCATTTTCGTTTATTTCGTCTGAATAATGCTGCTTTCCATTTCAATTCAATTCAATTTTATTTGTATAGCGCCAATTCATAACAGAAGTTATCTCAGGACACTTTTCAAATAGAGCAGGTCTAGACCGAACTCTTTAACATTAATTACAGAGACCCAACAGTACCACCATTAGCAATGTCTCGTGAACTCGGAACCCGAGTTAGAAAGTGTAAATCTCGCAGCTATCTCGCGAGATTTCACAGAGACACACCCCCTTTTGGTCGAAATTTCAGCCGTCCCACTCGGGGTGCCTCAGGGTACCTCGAGCTAAACGGGGGGGCACGTACGACTCGCAAAACAAAGATGGCAGCGCCCATATTAAGATGTATTTTCTTTGTATTTGTACTACGTTGGTCGTTTTAATGTCGATTTTAAATGCTCCAACACACTTGTTTACATTGCTGCTTTAGTCCGGTCACCAATTTATGCATTGCACGGTGTTGCTGTGAGTTCAATACAATGTAAAGTTTTGTTTTCGAGCTGGTTTGCTAAATAGGCTAATGTAGCTAACAATAACACTAGCCCGCCACTGCCCCTGGTTGCTCGAGAGAAACGACACAGCACTTGTTGAAATTGAATGGGCGAAAATGGCAAAATAATATTGAAATGTAAGACTTGCAATAACGGAGTTACTTGAAATGTTAGTGTTTCTGTTGAAAAACTATTATTTCACATTGCACTTGTTTAGAGCCACAAGCAATAACAACACAGCTGCTGCACTTCTTTCCGACTCGTAATGCCCAAAGACAAACTGGAACGCTGTAAGTGGTACAAGCCAGGCAATGACGTCACGCTCTCGCAGCAGAACAACTCGGGTTCCGAGTTCACGAGGCAAATGGAAAGCAGCATAACTCCAAAATCCAGCAATACTGCTTCAGCATAAATAGCGCCGTGGCACACTATTAACAGTTTGGACGGGACTTCCTCGAACATTTTGCATGAAAGCATGGCATATTCCTGAGCTAAGGTCTAAGTATGGGATGTCTGCCAACTAGTGGAGGGGAGTATGAACGAGATATAACACTCTATTCTGAGAAAACTGCTGTTTGATTCAGTACCGCGTGTCGCTTGTCGCAATTTTGCGACTTTGGCGCTTAAAGGGTTAAACGGAGGATGGAGAAGAGAAAGTTTAAACCCTACATCCCTGCAGTCATCACTGGAAACGTGAGGTCTTGAATACATTGGGTTCTGCATAGACAACACCATCCCCACTAAAAAGGTCCGCTGTTACCCAAACAACAAACTGAAGGCCCTTCTCAGCGAGAAGAAGAGGGCCTTTAGATCAGGGGACCGAGCAGAACCCAAACGGGTACACAGAGAGCTCAAACGCAGCATCAGTGAGAGCAAGGACAACTACAGGAGAAAACTGGAAGACAGCAACTCCAGGGAAGTGTGGAGTGGGATGAAAGAGATCACCGGCTTTCAGAGAGGAGGGGGGCCAGCTGGGGGGAACGAACAACGAGCCAAAGAGTTGAACCAGTTCTTCAATAGGTTCAACTCTGAAGGCTGTTACATAGTCGCCGTTCCCGACCTGTAGCGCGACAATGTGACATCACGGGAGTGCCGTAACTATTTATACTTACTGATTTCTCACCATGAATTCTGGCACCTCTGGGCATCCCTGTGTTCCTTCATTTAAGGATCGTACAGATGCCTGTAGAGGCGCACTTGCCCGGAAAGCTTGCCCTCAAACTCGTCCATCTTCCTGTTTCCGCTTTGGCGCGCTCAGCTGAAAAAAAGAGTGGTGCATGACCTGGCACGACCTGGCCTAATGGTGCTATCCATTTGTCTTTTGAACTCGGAACCCGAGGTGGAAAATGTAAATCTTGCAGCTATCTCGCGACATAATAACACTAGAGACAATAACACTAGCCTGCCACTGCCGCTGGAGGCCCCCGGTGGCCCCTGGTGGCTCGAGACAAACGCCACAGCACTTGTTTAAATTGAAATAGGCAAAAATGGCAAAATATTATTGAAGACTTGCAATAATGGAATTACTTGAAATGTTAGTGTTTCTGTAGAAAAACATTATTTCACATTGAGCTTGTTTAGAAGAGCCACAAACAATAATAACACAGCTGCTGCACTTCTTTCCGACTCGTAATGCCCAAAGACAAATGGAACGCTATAAGTGGTACAAGCCAGGCAATGACATCACGTTCTTGCGGCAGAACAACTCGGGCTCCGAGTTCATGAGACAAATGGATAGCACCATAAATCCTGGCGCGCCAGCGAGATCTAGGTCATTTTGACGTCACATTGTCGCGCTACAGGTCGGGAATGGTGAGTATGTAACACCCTTAACTCCCCCACAACAGCAACAACCCCATGACACTCCTACAACCCCCCACCACCTCCTGCCCCACACCACCCTCATCATCCCCATCCCCCACCCCCCTGCTGACATCCACCACGGACTCTTTCACCCCTCCCACCCCTAGGACATCCTCACATCTCCCACAGCCCCCTGCCACCTCCTGCAGCAGACACCTCTCTGCATCACCTTTGTCATCCCCACCCCCCAACCTACTGCTGACACCCATCGCAGACCCTGCCACATATCCAACCACCCAATCTGGACTTCAAATCACATCCAGCCAGGTGAGGAGAGAGCTGGAGAGTCTCTAACAGAGGAAAGCTGCTGGACTGGATCAGCCCCATGTTGGGGTTGATGATGCCCTGATCTACCTGCTGCAGAAGGCTTACTCCTCCCTGGACAGACCCAACACTTCAGTCCGCGTCATGTTTTTTGATTTTTCCAGTGCCTTCAACACCATCCAGCCCGGATTGCTGAAGGCCAAACTGGAGGACATGCAGGTAAGTGCTCCCCTCATCACATGGGTCGATGACTATATGACGGGCAGACCGCAGTTTGTGAGACTCGAGAACTGTGTGTCTGACCGTCTGATTAGTAACATCAGGGCCCCCCAGGGAACTGTACTGTCTCCCTTCCTCTTCACCACCTACACTGTAGACTTTAAGTACTGCAATGAGTCGTGTCATCTGCAGAAATTCTCTGATGACACGACTGTCGTTGGGTGTGTTGAGAGTGGGAGGGAGGCTGAGTACAGGGACCTGGTTGATCGCTTTGTGAAGTGGTGTGGGGAGAACCACCTGCAGCTGAACGTGGCAAAGACAAAGGAGATGGTGGTGGATTTTAGGAGGAACAAGCCCCTGCCCTCTCCTGTCAGCATCGGCCGGACCGATGTGGATATGGTGTCGGCGTATAAGTACTTGGGTGTCACAGTGGACAATAAACTGGACTGGTCAACAAATACAGAGGCCATCTAAAAGAAGGGCCTGAGCCGGCTTTACTTCCTGAGGAGGCTCAGGTCCTTCAATGTCTGCAACAGGATGCTACAGATGTTCTATCAGTCTGTTGTGGCGAGCACCATCTTCTTTTCTGCGGTGTCCTGGGGTGCGGGCATCAAGGCAAAGGACGCCAACAGACTGGACAAACTCATTAAAAAGGCTGAATCTGTTGTTGGCTTGAAGCTTGTCACCCTGCAGGAGGTGGGGGAGGAGAGGATGCTGGCAAAACTGCTGGCAATCATGGACAATCCCTCCCACCCCCTCCACACAACACTGGACAAGCTAAAGAGCAGCTTCAGCAACAGACTCATTCAACCACGCTGCTCTAAGGAACGATACAGGAGATCGTTCCTCCCCACTGTTATAAGACTGTATAACTCATCTGCCTCTGTCAGATCCACAATCACAGAACTGGACTAAATCTACCTGTGGAACATAAACTTCATCATATACTATCATATGTGATATGTGTTAAACCATGTTGATATTATATATCATATTTATACAATATATTATTATATTAATATTATATTATTATTGCTATTATTATTATTATTATATATTACAACTATTATTATTATTATATAACAATATAACAATAAGATATTATCTATTGTGTGTATATCTTCTCGTATAGTCAAGTATCTATTATACATATGCTTTATATCATATCTTGTGTATATATATATATGTGTACATATTATATATATATTGTGTATATATATTACAGTATGTATGTATGCACACTTTGCACAGGCTGAATATATGACACACGTTTACATTATATCAATATTAATGTATAATATCTATGTGTATACATCTGTTCAGTCATCATATATATTATTATTATTATATTATTATAAATATGTTTAATATTATCATTATATACTATAATTATTATATACTGTTATTAACAATAACACTACCATCATATCCTCAGTACTATTACCACTATCTTACAACTACAACTCTTTGCACCTTACCTACCTATTTATCTTTTTTATCTTTTCTAAGTATTTTATTCTATTGTAATATTTTATTGTATTTTAATGTACCTGGCTGCCATGACGACCCAATTTCCCTTCTGGGATTAATAAAGTCTATCTGTCTATTAATATAAGGTACATTGTATTGTTTACTTAAACACACGGGGACAAAATTGTTGGTACTCTTCCATTAAAGAAAGAAAAACCCACAATGGTCACTGTGTGTGTGTGTGTGTGTGTGTGTCTATCTGTCTGTCTATGTGTCTGTGATGAAGATGATGAAGATGATGATGTACGTACCGTGTCAGCTAGCTCTCTGTAGACCGGCTCCAGTTTCTTGCAGTGTGCACAGGACGGAGAGTAAAACTGGATCAGAACGTCTTTATCTGGATCATTGACGATGTCGTCAAAAGACTCGGCAACAACCATCTGCAGCACATCAGGGTCAGAGGTCAGAAGTCAGGGGTCAGAGTGTAGTAGTGGAAGCCCATCACATGAGCTGTGTCAGTTCCTGTTCCGCCACTAAATCTGTTTTAAATCGATGTTAGCTTCTCCATAACAGGCTAACCTCAATGTTAGCTTCTGAACAGTCAGACTCACCTGGACAGCAGCAGAGTTTCTCTCAGGAACAGGTTCAGACTTTATGTAACGTTTGAGTCGACCTGCCAGGTAATCGTCCAGAAACCTTTCCAACGACTGACCGTCCCTCCTGAGACACACACACACGCACGACACACACACACACACACACACACACACACACACACACACACACACAGACACACGCAGACACACACACACACACACACACACACACACACACACACACACACACACACACACACACACGCACACACACACACACACACACACACACACACACACACACGCACAGACACACACACACACACACACACACACACACACACACACACACACACACACACACACACAGACACACACACACACACACACACACACACACACACACACACACACACACACACACACGCAGACACACAAAAAAAAAAACACACACACACACACACACACACACACACACACACACACACACACACACACATTTAAACACTTAACCACAGCTGGTAATCTGATTCCTCAACTAATAATAATGTGTGAGGTCATACAGGTGAGCAGAGTAAAACTGCTCTCTCGCAGTGCATCTTTTTAGCCCTGTTGGCCCGGGTACATTTAGCCCTGTTGGCCCGGGTACATTTAGCCCTGTTGGCCCGGGTACATTTAGCCCTGTTGGCCCGGGTACATTTAGCCCTGTTGGCCCTGGTACATTTAGCCCTGTTGGCCCGGGTACATTTAGCCCTGTTGGCCCTGGTACATTTAGCCCTGTTGGACTACGTACGTGAACTCCTCTCTCATGGTGTACTTTTGGCCCAGTTTGGTCCGGAGGGTGACGAAGGGCAGCTCTCCTCCGTCTGACGTTCCCAGACCAAAGTCTTCCTCCAGCTCAGACAGGAAGTCCTTCTTATTGGCGATTGAAAATGTCAAGCCCCGCCCAGAGTACTTAGATGCCACCTTCATCACCCTGGCAACAAGACACAGGAGACGGGGCTTAACCACAAACACTTTACACAAGTGTTACCTGTGTGTAAGTTACCTGTGTGTTACGTGTGTGTATGTTACCTGTGTGTGTGTTATCTGTGTGTATGTTAACTGTGTGTTACCTGTGTGTGTGTTACCTGTGTGTATGTTACCTGTGTGTGTGTTACCTGTGTGTATGTTACCTGTGTGTTACCTGTGTGTGTGTTACCTGTGTGTATGTTACCTGTGTGTTTACCTGTGTGTGTGTTACCTGTGTTTTACCTGTGTGTGTGTTACCTGTGTGTATGTTACCTGTGTGTTACCTGTGTGTGTGTTACCTGTGTGTATGTTACCTGTGTGTTACCTGTGTGTGTGTTACCTGTGTTTTACCTGTGTGTGTGTTACCTGTGTGTATGTTACCTGTGTGTGTTACCTGTGTGTATATTACCTGTGTGTGTATGTTACCTGTGTGTGTGTTACCTGTGTGTATGTTACCTGTGTGTGTGTTACCTGTGTGTTACTGTGTGTACCTGTGTGTTACCTGTGTGTGTGTTACCTGTGTGTATGTTACCTGTGTGTTACCTGTGTGTGTGTTACCTGTGTGTATGTTACCTGTGTGTGTTACCTTTGTGTATGTTACCTGTGTGTATGTTACCTGTGTGTATGTTACCTGTGTGTGTTACCTGTGTGTATGTTACCTGTGTGTGTTACCTGTGTGTTACCTGTGTGTATGTTACCTGTGTGTATGTTACCTGTGTGTAT